AAAATTAGTTGTATAGGATAATTATTGTTAATTAAAATGTTAATACATTGCTGTAGATTCTGTTTGTGGAACTTTGGATGTGACAGTAATATTGCTCTATCAACTAATGAATAAATTGTTGTTATTTTTTGATTGATTGGATTGTGTGAATAATAATTAATATATCTACCAGAAAAAGTTGGTTTATGATACCAGTTACAAACCAAATTATTTTTTTCATCTATTATAATGCTAACCTCGAGAAAATTGAGAACATTGTTTATTTGTGATTCAATTGTGAATTGTAATCTATCGTTACTTTACTTTTACTTGCAGATTCTTATAGCTTAATTCAAGAGCTTTCCAAAACTTTATAATAAAGATTATTTTCATTAAGCAGGTTTTGTTATGAAAGTTGAATATTAGAATACCGCGCCGGAACTTTTTCTTCAAAGATGATTTTGATCAAAACGTATTTTGTGAGCAAATAATGCAGAGAATTGACAAAGAACTTAATTTCCTATTCAACATAGTTATTTTAGATAAAGCAACATTTGAAATAAATGATAACGTCAATAAATAATGTTAATACCGGCGATACTCTTATTCAACCCTCATACGTCAAAAAGTAGGGGAGACTGGGGCTAGTTGTGACACGGGATTAGTTGTCAAAATGCTATTATCTTGCTTACTAAATCTTGAAAAATATTCTTCTTTTTATTGTACGTTGCTACTAGTTGTGTTAGTAACGTGTACGAAAGAACTTTTCTTAAAAACATTATATATGATATTTACGAGCACTTTTGTAAAACTGGATATATGGCAAGTAGATTTTTCTGATCTCGATTCTTAAGTAATTTCATTGGTTTTAAAATTTCTAATTGCAATTTTATCTTACGTATAGAAAGTATGTTAGTTTTAAATACGTTTTTTTCCTATATTTATTTAATCGTCATCGCATCGCAATTTATAAATATAATACATTTTATTTAAAATGAACGTTTGGGATAAGTTGATTCAAATTGAGACGGGATAAGTTGTCACACGGTGAGCATGCGCGAAGAAGTAATCGCAGTGATCGTCATGCGTCATTATAACTTTTTCGGTATCTGTTATTGTTTTTTTTATTAAAAATTAGGTTACTAAGTATGTTTTATTTATTTGTTTTATAGTTTTTAACTGATTTAGTATTGTAAAATCATTCAAAGTTGTTTTATATACATATATGATTATTGATATTGTATAAATACTTTATACTTAATGTATAATGTATAATGTTATGTACTCTCAATAAATTTAATAAAATAAAAAACAACAATTTTATATCTTATTGTTTCTCTGTATAAAAGACATGTGACACTTAACCCTGGGTATGGGGCAGGTTGACAAATCTGCGCGATTGTACTTAACATTAAAATACTCTTTTGTGTAAAGATATATAAGAATAATATTTGGTTTTTTTAAAAGCTAAAGGATGTGACTATTATATAATGTACCCAATATTACATAATATTGCGTACGTTTTTTTTACAATCTATTTTGGATGTTACTTTGTGCCCCGGTCTCCCCTACTTAATTAACCTCTTAGGCACGGCTGAATTTTGCGCGGGGCTGTTTCTCTGTACGGCAGAGTTCAACGCGAATTACGTGTAAATACGGCACTGCAATGTGTGACGGATAATGCTGTTCTTTACACGAATACATTGGCATGAAGTGTTTGATGATTAAATTATGAGAAATGGCATCCGCGAAAGCCACTATAGTGGCGCGTCGTACAGAAAGATGACATCCGCGAAAGCCACTATAATAGTGCGTCGTACAGAAAGATGACATCCGCGAAAGCCACTATAGTGGCGCATAGTGCCTAAGAGGTTAAAATAAACTATTACAGTGTCTTGAAAAGCTCTTAAATTAAGCAGTAAGAATTTGCAATAAAAAGTAGAGGGGAATTTCATTTAAAAAAATTCAAGGTGACTTTGTCCTGACCTTGGGAATGTCATTCAAACTGATAAAATTAGTAGTAGTAGATTTATTGATTCCCGGCAAACCGGGCTAACAAGGCGTTTTTTAAAGAAACGTTCCCAAAACTTTTACACAGCACCCTATTCCTTTACATATTCCCTTAACAATACCCCTTACATCTAATCTTCGCTAATACGCACTTACATCTAATACTAATCATTTCTTATCCATACACCTTACATCTAGTCTTAACCAAAACGCACTTACATCTAATCTTAGCCTACCCTTTCGAGCCAATGAGAGGCCGAGTATCCTCGCCCTCTGATCCACTCATTCTACACACACACATCACCCCTCTAGACTTCCGCTTCCTCTCGCCTCTTTTTCCATCTCTCTTTTCTTCCCCCGTTACTCCTTCCCGTGCTCCCAACCACTCTCTCCCTTCTCCCCCCCTCTCTACTTCTTCCTTCCTCTCCAACTCCAGTCTTTCTTTCTATTTTCCTGTATGTTCGTTACCCCACTTCTCTCTCTTTCCTTCCTTTTTCCATTCCCTTTCCAGCTCCTTCAGCCAAAATTCCCCTTCTCCTTTCTGTCCTAGAACCCACATCACCGCCTTCTGCCAGCTCTCTCTTCCGTCCCTCCAACTTCTACCTTCTTTCCAAATGTGTTTCCACGTTTCTTCCTCCTTCCCACACAATCTATACAACTTCTCTTCTTTCTTCTCCCAATATTTTCTCTCTCCTACCTCATTCCCTAGCCTGAACCTCGCTAACCTTAACCATCTTTTTTCTTTCCACCCCTTCTTTAAATACTCCGGCACCCCTCTTCCCTTTACCATTTTGTACCACCTGTTGTATTTCGATTCCTTTATCTTTTTCCATCTTTCTTCCTCTTGCTTCCTGATTCTTTCTCTTTTTTCCCATTCTCCACTCCATATTTTTCTCTTCTCAATCTCTTTTAGGCTCCTTTCCATCTCCTCTCTCCTTATCCCTTTTCTTTCGAAACATTCCATTCTTTCCTTTTCCCATTCTGATAATTCTCTTCCCTTTTTCGCTCTTTCCCTCATCTCCTCCCAGCATCTCCTCGCTATTTCACTTCTTCTTCCCTCTCCGAGCCTCCTCTCATACTCCCATGCTCTTCTCCCTGCTCTTACACATAGTTTCTCCCTTTGGAGCTTCTCTCTAACTAAGTACCCCGGTGTTTTCCCCTTTACCCTCAAAACCCACCTCAAATACCTCTCTTCAAATTTCTCTAGCTCTTCCCTCTCTCTTTATCCCCAAATCTCCACGCCATATCCCATCACCGTCTATATCAACCTGTCGAATAACCATAACCTTCTTCCCCAATCTTTGCCAAACCTTCTCTTCCCAATGCCTCACGCCTGTCCTATTACCGCTGCCGCTTTTCTTCCTCTCTTTTTCACCTGCCCCTCCTGATTCCCATTTTTCCTAAACACATATCCTAGGTACTTAAACTCCTTTACCTTCTCGATTCTCTTTCCCTTCCACATCCAGACCTTTTTTTCTCTTCCTCTTTTCCTGAATCTTACCCCCTTTGTTTTCTCCACGTTCAGTTCCACTTTCTTCTTCTCATGGTACGTCTCCAGCCTCTCTATCATGCTCCTCATTTCCTCCTCTCTTTCCGCCATCATCACCATATCGTCCGCATATGCCAGCGTGTATACCCTTTCTTCCTCTAGCCTCACTCCTCCCCATCTCATCTTTCCCATTTCTTCCTCTAATCTAATAAAATATTAAATATCATAGGGCTTAGCGGACACCCCTGTCTCACCCCCCTCGTCGTCCAGAAACAACTCCCCACCTTCCCTCCTTTCACCCTACACTTCGCCTCCCTTATTACCTGTTTCACTCTTTTTATTATCCCATCTCTCATCCCTCTTTCTTTCATCGCTTCTATCAATTTGCTTCTGTCTACCAAGTCAAATGCGGCCTTTAAGTCCACAAAGAGTGCCACCAGCTTTCCTCCTTTTTTCGCTATCCTCCTGTTTATTAAATAGTTTATCGTATAGATATTGTCTATTGTTCCCATCTCTTTTCTAAAACCCGTTTGATTGTGTGGGATTATTCTCTTCTCTTCCAAGTCCTCTTCCAGTCTTTCCGCCAGTATCATGACATATATTGTGTATAACGAAGACATTAGGGTTACCCCTCTGTATTCATCCACCTTCTGTCCATCTCTCTTTTTCACTATGGGTACTATAATCCCTTCCTTCCACTCTTTTAGCCAACTTTTTCTTTTCCACACTTTGTTGCAAAACTTCCCTATCCAACTCTCCATATCATCCCCTCCATACTTCCAGACCTCTCCAGGTATACCGTCTATTCCACACGCCTTTCCCTCCCTCACCTTCTTTATCGCCCTTTTTATCTCTTCCCCTCCTATCTCCTTCTCCTCCCCCATCTCTATTCTTCCTTCCGCTCCTCTCACCACCCTCCCCTCTACCTCTCCCAGTAACCTTATAAAGTACTCCTTCCAATCTTCCATATCGATATCTTCAATCATTCTTTTTCTTCCCCCTCTCTCTCTGTTCTCAATTTCCCAAACCTCATTTTCCCTTTTCGCCATTCTAACTTTTTCCTCCAATCTCTCCCTCTCTTCTTTCTTTTTTCTTTCACATAACTTTGCAAACTCCCTTTTTCCTTTTTTATATCCATCCTCGTCTGATCCTCTTCTCCTCCAATCCCTCAACGTTTTCCTCACTTTCTTTTTTGCCTTTCTACATTTTTCATCCCACCAACCTTTTTGTCTCCTTCCCCCTGCTTCTTTTTCCCTTTCCTCCTCTATTTCCTTTAGCGCCTTTTTCACACTTTCCTCCATACCTCTCCGAATCTCCTCTAGTTTTCTATTTCCTGCCTCTAGCCCCCTCATGTTTTTATTAAATTGTTCTCTCTCTTCTTCATCCCATATTCCTCTCCATATTTTCTTCTCTTTGCCGTGTCTTTCTTTTCTTCTTTCTCCCCCTCTCATCCACAGCTCCACCGGGTGATGATCCGAATCTATCTTATCCCCTATTTTCAACCTTTCTATTCTCTCTCTCATCTCTTCCCCCCTATCACCAAATCAATTGTCGTATTACCTTTCCCTCCCGTGAAAGTATATTCCTCCTCTTCATCTCTCTTCGTGCATCCGTTAAAAATACCCCATCCATTTTTTCCTCCATCTATCTCACTAATTTCCTCCCTTCTGCATTTATTGTTCCATCCTTTGCCTTCCTTTCTCTACTCTCGCTCTCCTCCCCCTCAACTCCTCCTCCCTCTCTCCCCACCCTCCAAATTAAATAAAGTCTCCTCCAATTACCAACATACTGTCCTCTTCCTTCTTATCTGTTCATCCTTCTATCCTCTCTATCATCCTTTCTATTCTTTCATTCACATACACCCCTATAATCTTCCATCTTTCTTTATCCAATCTTATCTCACTCATCATTGCTCCTTTCGTGCCCACCTCAAACTTTATCTCTCTTTCCACCAAATTTTCTCTTATTCCTATAAGCATTCCTCCTTTTGCTCTTCCTCTTTTCCCTTTCTTTGTAGTCCATTGTATCCCCCATCTGAAACCCTTCGGTAACCTATTCTTTACTCTTTCCCATTCTTTCTTTCCCACCCATGTTTCTGTTAACACCAAAACCTCCCATTTCCATAAGCTTTCCCAAAACTCCTTATCCTTATTCCTCATTCCCGCAACATTCCAAAACATCATCTTCCAGCCTTCCACTCTCTCTTCTCTTACCTGCCATCACTCTCCCTCCCTTCCCCGACCTTATCTGATCCTCTCCTTTTCCTCCTCCGTTTTCCCCTCTCTACACTTCCTTGTCTTCTCTCTCTCTCTCTCCTCTCTTATCATTCCCCTTCCGTCTCTTAGTACCTTCTCCTCTTCATCCCATATCCACCATTTCTTCTCTATTTTTAACTTTCCATACCCTATCCCCACTCTCCTTCCCTTTCTCATCTCCCTCTTTGCGATCTCTTCTAATTTCCATCTTATCCTCCTCTCTTTCCACGTCCAGTCTCCCACTATCCTTTCCCTCCTCCCCTTTAAATTACTTTTCTTTCTCAGTACATCATTTCTTTGCTCCTCATTCCTTACTCTTACCCATACCGTTTCCCTATTTCTCTCATCTTCTCTTAATTTTCTAACCTCTTCTACCTCCACCTTCACCCCTATTACCTCCAGAATCCCTTCTACTGCTTTCTTCCTTTCTTCCTCTCTCACTTCTAACCCTCTTATAATTACATTCTTTCTCTTAACAATATAATTGTTTGCTTTATACTCCGTTAAATTGTTAAAAAAATATATATGCAGAAAGGGCCGATACGGAGTGAAATACTAGGTGTTGATGTATGAACAAAAATCTTTATTTAAACATGCCAAACGTTTCGACTCTCGGTTTGAGTCATCTTCAGTGGCATACAAAAATCTACATAAATAACTTAATATAAAAATTACAAAAATCAAAGAAACAGTACAGAAAAGATACCACGCAATAATTACAACTCACCATTAAGAAACATATAGGCAGAACATCACCTTGCAAAAAGGAAGAGATATCAAATAATTAGTTGATATTCATCACAGTGTTTCGAAAAACCAAAAATGTCCTCTTTCCATGTCTCAAGTTAGATAGTACACAAGAAACATAAACTACACAACTGATGTACAGCCTTTACAAAGTTC